TCACAATGACAATTAACAAGTCACAAGGACAGACACTTGACTTTGTTGGCATATATTTAAAGGAACCTGTTTTTTCACTCGGTCAACTTTATGTTGCAATGTCAAGGGCTCGCAACGCAGATTCAATTAAAATTCTCATTTGCCATGATGAACCAAATCCATCGCTCGCTAATACAACACCCAACATTGTGCTTGAAGAGCTGTTGCCTTTCATTAACTAGGTCTTATTTGCTGACTATATGTGTGCATTAATTTCACATTCCTATTTTACTTTAATTTATATCCTAATTTGACGTATTTTTCATTAGCGCAGTTAGCAGACTATTATGCCAGCTGAAGTACCGATTGTGTCGGTCAAACCTGAGACTAGGCCATGGACCTGTCGAGTGACAGTCATTGAAAAACAGAATGTGCGCACCGCAAAGGCCGGACCCATGCGATTTATGCCTATGATACTTAGAGATTCTGCTGTACACTTCTGTTATTCTAATAGTGGTTGTCAATTTTCATATTTACATTTCTCTAACTTGACCAATATGCTCTTTATAGGGGAACAGAGTACAAACAACTGCATTTCAAGGTGACATTCAAGGAATAGATCAACGTCTTACACCGTACTCAACCTACCTTGTCTCAAATGCCTACGTGAAGCCAATAACCGACATGCGCTTCTGTGTTGATGTGGAATACCCATATGTCTGGTCATTTACACGCCGCACTTTCATCCAGGACGTTGCCGCAGAGGCGGGGCAGAACTTCCGCCAGCTGGCTGAGGCAGACACCATCCCCTTCAGTGACATATATGATTCCTATTTGCGTGAAACTCGTATCAGTACACCTCAACTATCTGTTTATGCATTTGTAACATATCCTCTTGCTATATATTTTATGCATTCTTATCTCATCAAAAAAATGTAGATGTTATGGCTGCGATTGTAAAGAAATTGCCACGCACCTTTGTCTTCTCCAATGACACTCAAAAACCAGCATGGGATGTTGTCCTCATTGATGCACAGTACATCCTAAATCATTAATTTACATTTAATTTATTACAAAACTGTCTGCCCACTTCTCATTTTCCCATATACGTTCATAGGTGTATCCCAATCCCATTCACTATGTGGGAGGAATTTGTCACCCGTCATGGTTGCGAGTTCGAAAAGTTCCTTCACGCAGGTGATTTCCCCCTTGCGCTGATAAACAGGGCTGTCATCAACCTTTTCCAAGGTTATATAAAGTAAAATCTATGTTATCATTTTGTTGTGAAAACTCTATGTTATCATTTTGCGCATATAGTTACTACGCACATATACATGCGGGGTACACATACCATTTTACACATAGTTTACAACCTCATCTGCCAGACACCTACATTGATAAACATCACATTCCTTTTGGTGCTCATTTATTCTTAACTGCATTTGTGTTTCATAGGTTTGACTCTTGCAACTCGTTTTGACTCCCACGTTGAACTCAATCTTGACGGGGAACGCGCATTACAACTTAAAAAATGGTGACTACCTTTTTCTATATCCATACATTTATTTACTTGCCAGGTAGATTAGGTAGGTATAAAATATCTTCTCTGTCTTTGTATGTTCTCACAGGGTTGCTGAAAACAAGCCCAAGATCATTTATGCACTACATCGTAAGGAATACGATGACGCACTTACATATATCGCCAAACCTCTTTTGCAGCCGCAAACTACCGTAGCAAATTTGGAAAGTGCACTGATTGAGGTTTAAGCCACTCAAAATTTCCAACTTCTCACTTCGAAGTTATTCTGACATGTTAGTAAACAATGTTTTCTCTATTCTTAAATAAACAGATTCTGGTTGTATGGGTGTACGGTAAGTTTCACTTGGCAGATACTTCTGAAGAAGGGTACTACATTGGTTGCGACTACTGCAACCGCAGAGTTTATGGAATCAAAGGTGCCAACTTCGAATGCTTATTCTGTGGGCAAAGAAATGGGACTACTGTTAAAAGGTATGTGCACAGCTTGACATGCAACACACTTCTTCACATCTTGTCTGGTACTAACTTTTGATTTATACAGATTCAGACTTAACGCTTCACTCACCGATGAAACCAGCACCATCCATGTCACCCTTTTCACCAGTGATGTGCTGCAGCTATTTCAATTCGTACGCATGGATCCAACTGCTGACATGAATCTCGAATTGTTCAATGCCAAAATACAGAAGATAAGTGTTCTTGCTGGGGTCAAGCAAACCAAGCCCAACGAAGAAGGGCTGCAGGGCAATCCGTACACCATTGTATGTGTCTCCAAACAGCCCGAACCCCTCACTGAACTCAATTCGCCACAGGTTGTAACCCCCCGGTTGTTGACCTTGCACCAATTGAAACTGCTACTGATCCATCGACCCTTTCAAAGAGGAAGTTGAGCTTGAAGCCCCTTACTCAAATGCTGGCTGCAAAACCTTCCTCATCTGTGAAGACTTTTGCACACAAGGACAATGTTGCGGAATAGCCCCTTGCAAACCTGCGCCCCAAAAAGCACAAGCCCAACACTACTTAGTGTGCAGGATGCACACATTTTTTGCTATGGTGGAGTCACGAGTGCATTCTTCCTGTGCCACCTCTTTTGTTGTCCATCACAATGTATGATTAGCGGGATGTAGTCATACGCACGTCATTTTACTTACCGCTTGATTATTCATTCACATGTAAACGCTCCCTGTTTGCTGTTTTCAACTACTTTTGCATGTACATTAATATTAATAAGCAACACATCTTGTAAATGTTAACCACCTTGACTTGCCAGTTGTTGGGAATGTATATATGCCTGTGTTTGTATTCCATTAACATATATATATATGTATATTATTTTTCTTCCTAATGTTTTATACAGTATAGGGCATTACATGCGATCAAATCATTTCACATTCATTCCACTACACCATCATGTTTCGCCTATACAATGTAGGACTTATATTGTTCAATGGTTACTCAAATAAAGTTGTCAAGTTTTTCCCATTATTTATTCTCACATACATCTGAAAAAATATGTTCCACATTAGATTTATTCCAGGTTTTTCTGCTACTCATATCATTTGAGCTTCCAATTTCCTTATATTTTACTCTTCCTTTTATTTTTCTTTGCCTCTTATTAGCAAAACTAACGACCAAGCTCAACAGGTCAGGAGCTTCTTTATTTATTTGCTGCATTTTCCCCTTGATAATCAAATATGTTGTTGTTTTTATAACTACATCATTTCTTATTTATTTTCCTTTCTTAAAAAAAAATTGGGCACATGTATTTTCATCCCCACAAATATATTTATATGTTCATCTTTTTTAAAAAACATCTGGCATAAATGTACTACAGCCATTTCCAATTCCAATATACACACTGCCCATTTAATCCCAATATAAAATACACTTACGCGAGTATTTGACCAGTTTAATGCATTTAAGTCTAGGCTGACCCAAATCTAGCCACACTACGTCTATAAATAATGCATCAAATGCCTAATCTTATATTATCCTCTGTATCACATTAGTTACAACATTGGAATATATATACTATTCATGTATTTTACTTTGACTACATTTTATTTATTTATTATTATAAGTGAACTATTTTTTTTAAAAAAATTATTAAATTCGTCTCGGTACTAAATTTTATAATCTGATTTTTATTTTGTTGTTACTAATACAGAATTAAATATAATGACGGCCAAAATTGTGCATTGGCAAAAATGAAATATTGACCGTTGTAACTAAAAAAACAAATGAAGTTTAAAAAAAAAATAACTCATTCTTATTTATTACTGAATACAAATCACAATAACTTTTTTAACTCCTTAATCGCTCACATGCATGAACCGCCAATCACAAAATTGCTGCCGCCCCTTCCTATCCTCAGCTTCATCCAAAACGTCCCCCCTCAAACACGACTCCTATTACGCTTCTTCTTCTCCGCATCTTCTCCGCATCATCTCACGCTCAAGGAAGCCCAACCACAAGCGCATGTAATTTCTCCAACCCATATTCCTCTGTCTCACTTGTCTGAGCGTGCAGACTTCTTGTTAAACTCTGCTACCTTCGAACAGGGTAAGGCCTTGTTAGTTTCTGTTCCTTTTGAAGTTTTGTTGTAGCTATTCTACTTGTTGTGCTCTACCTTAGGAGGTATAATTTTAACAGTACTTCTCATTTCCTTTGTGCATGTTGTAATTTCGGATATATATTTACCTCATCATTTTGCTGATAGTGTTCTGTTCCCTGTGCTTTGAGGTCTCATAGTTTCAATTACTTTGCATGTGTGTATGGGTACAACCACACAAATGAATTAACTATATCTTTATATGTCATGATTTTTTCGAATATATTCAAGCATATTAAAACAAAAAAAACTACCCATCATTTCAAACTTTTGTGATCCATACCCGCACCCTGAATTGTGACATATTCCACTTCTTCCACAACTGTTCAACCCTCAGGGCAATTATATACCCAACTACTTGTGATAGATGAATAGAAAGTGGTGAACAAATTGAATAGTGTGTGAATAGAAATACGTCACTGGTAATGTGATCTGTTGCACCTGAATCTAGAAGCCAGATATGTGGATGAAGTTTAATGGCAGAAGAAACTCAAACATGGTTGTTATGTATACCATAGATACCTTGTTTGGGAAAAGAAGAAATGTCTAGCAGATTACCAGATGAGACCACATTATTTGAAGAAGCCACATTAATACCTCCTTTGATAAGAGAACAGAACTGTTGATACTCCTCCTGACTCAAACTCACATGTCCTTTGTCTACTTCATCATTTTGCTCCTCATGTAATACAACATTCGCATTACACTTAAGCCATTCATTTACTTATTCATACTATACCGTTTCCATTCGGCAGACCATGGATTTGTTCAACAGATGTACTGTGGAATCTGGCAAAGACACTGCAGGTGCTAAAACCTTCACATACTACCTACACACTGTTCATGGCAGAAAAATATCTGTTGCCAGACTCATTGAAACAGGCAGCAACACATATGACTGTGAGACCAGCATGGCGTGGCAACACTTCTTAATTGCCTCAGGATTCAACAGACTGTTACCAACACGGTTTAGAAACACGACAAAACTTGAGCATAAACTAAATCATTTTATGCGCCGTGCTCTTATTCTGCCCGCCCCCTTGCAGGTCAGTTGATTGTAGTTCCTTCCAGTTCATGTACTTGTTCCCCGTTTTATTTACATTTTCATTACACAACTACTCTCATTTAATGTACTTTCACCTTTGTTATTCACCCTGCCCAACATGTCTGAAGGCAAGCACAATTCATTTCCCTGACGTTCTCCAATTCTCTCTGGTTTGGTGTCTCCTCGATATCCCAGACATTGACACAGCGGTATACTTAATAATATTTCATTCAATACATTTATATTAAAGTTCACTTTGAATGTTTTCATGGTTATTCACAACTTTACCGCATTGATTATTATTTTTGTCTTCTTGCATCTAGATAATACCTCCTTGCATGTACCGCCACTTATTTGAGCACACCAAGCAGCAAGCTGTACTAAGGTATGGAGCTACCTCTACGACAACGCATGTTGAAGCATACACTTTCAAAGATGAGTTCACCCATTTCATGGTGGAAAATGATATCCCCTCTGGCACGCACATGCTGCTCCGCCACACCGGAAATTTCATGTTTGATATCCTGACATTTGATGCAGAAGGTTTTGCATTAAACTTGGGCCCATCCCCCAATGGTATCTGTGATGACCCACTAACTGAAGGTATATCCCGTGCACATTCAGAAAACCTTTTTATATGGAACACCCCCTAAACTCCCAGCCCTTGCAAGTACTGGGGGTGTATCATTTGGCCTTTCTTTGTGTTTACCTTTACGATTCCTTCGTTAATGTTGCTTACATTATTCCTTTCTATGATTGTTCACTCTTGCTTACATTTGGCCTTCATATGATTGTTCACTCTTGCTTACACCACAAATCATTTCCTTGTGTTTTGTGGAATCCGCATTCCCTTCATGCTCATACCGGCAACTATTTAGTACTACATCATTCCTTTATCTGCCCACTCATATTGCAGAGGTATGTAGTATTTTATTTTCCTTCACATTTCAGATTGTCTTCTTCAAATCACACTTCACTCTGATTATTTAATGCAGGAAACCTGTGAAGCATATTTAAAAACATGTTGTGATAAACGTGGGCGCGTACAGATATGGCACGACACTGAAGACGAGTACTTTATGGGCGCCGACCCTGATATTCTGCAGGACATTCAACAGACTTTCCAACTCAATGAAGATTGTCGTATGGTCTTTTTGAGATATGGTCGAGGCAGACTTAGGCTCCTTACCATTTCCGCATGTGGTGTGGAAGAGCCGCCTCGCCATAAACACACATATGAGATCGGTACCTTGACATGCAGTGACATAACTGCACATGTTTGACACTCTACAACATTGGCAACCCTTTAATGTCCTAGTGATTTGTGTTTTTCCCTGAAATATTCTTCTTTTCAAGGGGCCAAGTACTTAAGACTGTATTCTTGCCAAATTTGGCACTTTGGACCTTTTGTTTGGAAAACTTATTCGGCACTCTACAACATTAACAACCCTTTACCGTACTACTACTTTAACTATTATAATTTTCTCGTACTGAATCTTTTACACTGTTGTTTATAAATTTCGACATTTTTAACCTGTTATTTCTCAAACTTGATTATCATTACTCTCGCTGATTTTTCACATCCCGTTTACACCATTGGGCACTGTCCCTTGCGCAAAACGCGACTCACTGCTAGTATATATATAGGGAGTTGATCAGGTGAGAAGTGCCCTTAGGCTGAGAACTGTGAAGTTTAACTTATAGACTAAAAACACGAACTCTTAACCAATAAATCATAACTTATAGACCCTGTCGAAAATAATTACGAAAATTCCACCGCCAAAAAAATAATCCTGGAAACCTTGAAATTTTTTGGACGTGGTGGCATTTTCGTAATTATGATGGAGAGCTTTATAATTTATGATTTATTGGTTATATGTTACTATATTCAGTCTATAAGTTTACTGCGTTGGAAGATCACATGCAAATCTAAGGGCTGAGATTACTTCTCACTTCTCATTTTAAGGGCACTTCTCAGCTGATCCGCTCCCTATATATATATATATATATATATATATATATATATATATATAGAGAGAGAGAGAGAGAGAGAGAGAGGATCAGCTGAGAAGTGCCCTTAGGTTGAGAAGCTGAGAAGTCTAACTTATAAGCAAAAAACACGAACTTTTAACCAATAAATCATAACTTATAGACCCCCTCCAAAAAACTACGAAAATGCCACCGCGTCAAAATAACTTCAGAAACCTGGAATTTTTTTTTGCAGAAAGTTCGTGTTTTTGAGGGGGTCTATAAGTTATGATTTTTTGGTTAAAAGTTCGTGTTTTGAGCTTCTCAGCTTCTCAGCCTAAGAGGGACTTCTCACATGATCTTTTCTCTCTCTCTCTCTCTCTCTCCATATATATATATATATATATATATATATATATATATATATATATATATATATATATATATATATATGTATGTATGTATATATATATATATATATATATATATATATATATATATACTAGCCTGGCGCGCGCTTTGCGCGACCGTTGGTGCCCAAGCTTTGGTAATACCGGGAAATTTGAAGTGCACAAGAACATATGCAAACACATTACGAAAGGTAGGTGGTAAAACAGAGCTAATGATGTCCATTACAGTAACAAGGGGAATAAAAAGTTTAGTTGAAATGTTTGGGCGAGCAAGATGCAACAAAATGTTATAGCAGTAGGAAGATTAGACAAAATATCACACAGGATAATGCTGAGGTCGAGGGCCGTTCATAATATGTGGAGAGTAGCCCCGAAAACTCGAGGGCCGTCTTTGATATGAGGGTGGTGATTGGGCGGCTATAAATACTTGAGGCCTGACCTCGTTCTCCTTTATGCGTTCTTGTTGTAGCGAAGCTCTGGCAAAAGTTTTCTAGAGAGAGAAACTTCCTTTTGATCAAACCCCGGCCCCTGAGGTCAGTTCTTCTTTGTTCTTGGTACTTTCTTGCATATTTTGCTTCCTGAGCCTTCGATTCAGTGTTAGAGCCCTAGAATCCTTTAGGAATCCTCTTCTGCCTCAACCCTTCTCCTACTTAATCTTTCAAAAATGTCGTCGCAAAGTGATTTTCAAGATATCTCGAGGGAGCCCTCGGCTGAGGCAGAAAGCATCTCCGATGTGTAGTCTTCGAGCGAGCAGTCCTCGGTTGGAAACGATTCAGAAGTTTCCGCTGAAGTCCAGAACCAACGCTTAGCCAAGGCCGAAGCCGAGGAGTTTGAGCAAGTGATAGAGGACGAGGAGATGGCCATTGCGGTCCAAGCTGCCGAGGAAGAAGAGGAGAAAGAGCGACAGAAGGTCACCGTCTCTGTCCTTCCCCCACGTAACGCTGGTGAGGCCAGTAGCTCCCGGCCACTCAACTCGGAGCCTCTCAGGGTGGCCCCAGGGAAGAAGAACAAAAAGAAGACGGGGGCCCCCAAGAAGAAGGGGAGCGTTGTAGACCTTGGGAAACCCGTCGGGATTCCTGAGGGGTATTCTTTCTTGAACACCGCCGCTCTTGAGTTGAGGTCGAGGGCTGATAGGGCGGAATGCTACGTCACCTAGCTGCATGTTGGGCCTTAGGCAACCGTGGTGGAGCCGGGGCCCGATGATCTACTCTCCCAGGCAACGACCTGGACAACTGGTGGGAAATGTACACTGATGGGGCAGCAAGTGCGAAGGGATGCGGAGGGGGGGGTGCGGTCATCACTTCCCCCGAGGGATTCAAGGCTTATTACTCCATGGATTTCATGTTCAAAGTCACCAACAACGAGGCCGAGTACGAGGCGCTAATCGTAGGATTGAGATATGCGAGGGCCCTCGGAGCAGCTCATCTGAAGGTGCGGATGGATAGCCAGTTGGTCGTTACACAGATGAACGGTACTGCTGAGACTCGGGAGGAACGGATGAAAGCGTACAAGGAACTGGCAGAGGAGCAGACTGTGCAGTTTGAGCAAGTGATCATAGACCTGGTACCTCGGGTGGAGAACGCCGAAGCTGATATCCTTTCCAAGCTAGGCAACCCCCTACCCGAGGATCAGATGTCGGCCGTCCCGAAACACATCCGGAATTTCGCTACACAGGAGGCGCTACTCCGACTGGCGACGGAGACGATCCAGGTAAATGCTGTTTCTTATGCAGATCCCAACTGGGTGAAGGAGGTGGCAGATTATCTCAGGGATGGAACCCTCCCCTCGAGAAAGATGGACGCACCTCCGGAAGGGCCCCATGGATAAAAAGACGGGCGGCGAGCTTTGAGATCATCGGGGGTGAACTGTACAAAAAATCGTTCGGCGGACCATACCTCAGGTGCTTACCGCCAGACTTAGCGGCGTCAGTCATGGAAGAAATCCATGAGGGCATATGTTCCAGTCACCAGGGACCCCGAACGCTGGCGAGAAAGATCATCCTGAAGGGGTACTACTGGCCAACCATCCAGAGGGACTGCTTCAACCACACTCAGAGGTGTGGAGTATGCCAACAGTACGCGCCTATGCCGGGAAGGCCGACCAGCTTCTACACCCCGATGACCGTCGCCCTACCATTTTCGAGATGGGGGCTAGACCTGCTGGGGCCCCTTCCCAGGACGACCAGCGGCAATAAGTTCATAATAGTAGCCATTGACTATTTCACCAAGTGGGTGGAGGCCGAGCCATTGAAGAACATCACTGAGTTCCAATGCCAACGATTCGTATGGCAGAACGTATTATGCCGGTTCGGCATCCCAGAACAGATCATTACGGACAACGGTCGGCAGTTCGTTGGCAAGGGGTTCGGGGCATATCTGGCCAAGTGGGGCATCCATCATTCCAGGGCTTCAGTCGCGTACCCACAGGCAAACGGCCAGGTGGAAAATATGAACCGAACCATCATGGATGGCTTAAAGAAAAAATTGGAAGATTACTCCTCAACCTGGCCGGAGCAGCTGAATTATGTCCTGTGGACATACAGGACAACTCCAAGAACGGCGACCGGGGAAACGCCGTTCGCACTAGCATACGGGTTTCAGGCCAAGGTCCCCACCGAGGTACTCGTGCCGACACACCGGACTCTGCACTTTGACCCAGGACAGAACGAGGAAAATCTAAGGGCAGAGTTGCACTTTATCGGGGAGAGAAGGGACCTAGCCGCACGGCGCATAGAAGAATATCATTGGGCAACCGAAAGGTATTTCAATAAGGCGGTGAAAATCAGAGAAATCAAAGTCGGAGACCTGGTACTACGAAGGCGGGAGAAGAGTAAGCCGCTTGAGGGCGGCAAGATGGCCAAAAACTGGGAGGGGCCATACAGGGTATACGAGAAGAGATTGGCGGTGGGGACGTTCCTCCTACAAACTATGGAAGGACGTTCCGGTGACATATGGAACGTGGAGCACCTGAAGAGATTCTACCAGTAGGACCCCCCATAAAAAAAAGAAAAAAAAGAGGGGGGGGGGGAGACAAGAAGGAAATTTTCAGTTCATACAATGTAACAGCAGGAATTAATGAAAACAAGAAGGCTTGGACATTAGCCCAAAAAGTCCCATGGTTTTTCCATTTCCGGGTTTCCACGATAAA